GAGGGCGCGGGCAAAGGCCGCGGGCCCGGAGAGCAAGACTGGGTCAACAGGCCCAAGACCGTGCGCGACACGCTGCTGGCGCTGCACCAGCACAGCCACTCGGGGCCCTTCGAGAGCAAGTTCAAGAAGGAGCCGGCCCTGACTGCAGGCAGGTTGTTGGGTTTCGAGGCCAACGGGGCCAACGGGTCTAAAGCAGGTAGGGGCGGCTGTGGAGCGAGGGGGTCGAGGGGCGCTGAGCTTAGAGGGGGAGGTTCTTTCGGTGCACCGTTCTGCCCCAGCTCAGAAACAACAAACACCCGACTTCCTGATCTGCCCGAGGCGGAACCAGTGCTTAGTGGCAACGTGTTCATGTGCTGAAGCAGCATAACAGGGATGAGTCAGACCGGGCTGATTGATAGGCACGAACTCGGGGTTTTCCTTTCCCAGCACATTCTTGGATGGGAGCATGAGGGCACCAGTCACCTTTTAACCTGTCGAGGACATTAGTAGTCACAAGCACAACTCAGTTCTGGGCACAGGCATGCATGTGTGAGAACAAGCCATTCCCTGGGCCTTAATTTCCTTTTGGTGTGCTGCCTCAAAGCCCCTTAAGTGTGTTTGGAGCTGCATGCATAACTTGTGTGACTAAAGTGTGCTTTTGGAGAGTAGAAATTCTGCAACAAGTTTTGTTTCATTTTAACAAAAAAAAAAAAAAAAAAGCTGTATTTCAGTGCCCCTTCACTTATCCTTTTTTCCTTCCATTTCTTTGTTTTTCCAGTTGCAAGAACAGCAAGGAAAAGAAAGCCTTCTCCAGAACCAGAAGGTGAAGTCGGGCCCCCTAAGATCAATGGAGAGGCCCAGCCGTGGCTGTCCACTTCCACTGAAGGGCTCAAGATCCCCATGACCCCTACATCCTCTTTTGTGTCTCCACCACCACCCACTGCCTCACCTCATTCCAACCGGACCACACCGCCTGAAGCGGCCCAGAATGGCCAGTCCCCCATGGCAGCCCTGATCTTAGTAGCAGACAATGCAGGGGGCAGTCATGCCTCGAAAGATGCCAACCAGGTCCACTCCACCACCAGGAGGAATAGCAGCAGTCCACCCTCCCCATCCTCTATGAACCAAAGAAGGCTTGGCCCCCGAGAGGTGGGAGGCCAGGGAGCAGGCGGCACAGGAGGACTGGAGCCCGTGCACCCTGCAAGCCTCCCGGACTCCTCTCTGGCAGCCAGCGCCCCCCTGTGCTGCACCCTCTGCCACGAGCGGCTGGAGGACACCCACTTTGTGCAGTGCCCTTCAGTCCCTTCCCACAAGTTTTGCTTCCCTTGCTCCAGACAGAGCATCAAACAGCAGGGAGCTAGTGGAGAGGTCTATTGTCCCAGTGGGGAGAAATGCCCTCTGGTGGGCTCCAATGTCCCCTGGGCCTTTATGCAGGGGGAAATTGCAACCATTCTTGCTGGAGATGTGAAAGTGAAAAAGGAGAGAGACTCGTGACTTTCCGGTTTCAGAAAAACCCAGTGGTTATCCTTAACTAAAACTGCTTGAATTGTATATATATCTCCATATATATATATCCAAGACAAGGGAAATGTAGACTTCATACACATGGCTGTATAATTTTGATTTTTTTTGAATACATTGTGTTTCTATATTTTTTTGACGACAAAAGGTATGTACTTATAAAGGCATTTTCTTCTTTTGTTAACGTTATTAGCATATCTTTGTGCTTTATTATCCTGGTGACAGTTATCGGTCCTCGTAGGCTGTGACTTGGCTGCTTTTTTTAGAGCACTTGGCAAATCAGAAATGCTTCTAGCTGTATTTGTATGCACTTATTTTAAAACGGAAAAAAAAAAAAGCCAAATACATTTTCTGACATTGTAAGATTGCCTTACTGTCTGTTATTCCTTATTGCTGGCCCCTTTCTCAGGCTAGAGGCCACTTGGTGGAGAAGAAAAGGAAATAAGTGAAAGGGGCACTGTTGTCAAGTGGGCATGCCACTGGGAAGTATCACCAAGTTTACCCCAAAACATGTCCTCTCGGAGGAGCAGGAAGATAGGTTTTGGATCTCTGTTTTGTTCTTAAAGTTCAGTTTAAGACATTGCCTGTCTGAGAGGTGCTGCTGAGAGATTCTCAGCATTGTGGGTATTTTTTTTTTGGGGGGGGGTGTTTTTCTTGAGGCAAAGTTGACGGCTGTTCACTGTCCACGTGATCAGTTGTAGGAGTACAGTGCTGCATGCTAGTTGGTTACATAAGACGCAGCTCCAGTGATGGATCGGCGTGGTGGGTGGTGGCGTGTGCAAGATGGCACTGTCGTCTTTGAGCAGCCTGGCTCTGCAGCGCCACTTCATCTGTTCAACACCCTAGAGCTGTGTGTCATTGCTGTGGTCGTTTCCTCTGCAAGAGTTGCCAGAGAAGTTGCAGTCCAGGAGAACTTAGAGATTGTGGGATTGGTTGTGTTTTGTTTTGTTTTTTATCATTTACCTGTAGTGCTGTTGCTGTCGATACTGTCACACGTTTCTAGTGAGTGCTGAATACAGTATGGTACAAGGACAGTGAAGCCCTGGTCTTCCAGGACCGCCTGTGGGCATATCAGTGACAGCCCAAGTGTGAGTGGAGGAAACCTGTAATTTCCTTCTTACATGTGTTTGAAATACCAAGTGAATAATACGGTTCTGGAAAAAAATGATAAACTAGTGAAAATTAAAAGAAATTGAGGGTTTTACATAATAGGCAGGCCCCACCTCTCAAACAATTTTTAGAAGCCTTTTGTAAGCTAATTTCTTTTGATCACTATTTTGCATCAGTAAAATGATTTTTTTAAACCAATAAATCATCAGTTATTAGAAATAGTTGTCTCACAGCATACTGGTTTTTCTTTTGTGCTGTTACAATTTAATATTGACAGGAACACTATTTTAAATCCTTATGTTCAGGTGTTTGTAACTTGGCCTTATAACTGGGCCGAATCATGGCTTCTAGGTCTACTGCAATTCATATGTATTGTTCACAGCCTAGCTTCTGTTTTAATTTGAAAATATAGATTATTACCAACTTTGGATTTTTTTTTAGTTGTGTTTGTCTTTTTTTGAAATTGCTCAAAATGTTTTTTAGTGGTCAAGTTACTAACACTTGAAAATCAGATACTGCACCAAATACAGTATTTTTTCATGGTGATTTTGATGAGTGCACCCATTGCTAGTGCTGTGTGAATCCACGTCACAGTCATTGTTGTGCTACAGTAAGGCTTGCACGATTAACCATTTGTCCTTATACTTTTTTTTTTTTTTGGTGTATCCATGACTCAGATCAGACTGGTCTCTATTATGTGAATGTACACATGCAAAAAAGTCAGTTTTACATGCCCATAAAGACATTTGTGAAGAATTCAGCTACTATGGTCTGTTGTATAAATATGTTTCTAGGCACTTTATTATAAACTGGAATTTGACCTCATAGATGTTACAACTTGATCAGTCATTTGACCTAATTTGTGGTGGCTGTCTGTGTGTTTTGCAACCTTAATGCAGATAAGCTTTCCAATGAGACTGATGAAGAACCATACTGCTGTAGTGGAAAAGTCTCTCCAGCTGTGGAAGAGGCAGCCTGGGTTGGTGGTGGACGGGGGAGACTGACCCGCTTTAAAAAGGCTGCAGAGCTTCCCACTATTATAACACAAGCTCTGCTGGAGCCTGGCTCCTCTCCTCCGAGGCCTTTGAGGAGGCTTGCAGCTGGAGTGCTGATCTGGGTTCTTTTTCTGGCATCCCCAAGTTAAAAGTGAACACTGGGACATGGGTTTGATCTTTTGTTGTATCTGATGACAGTGTAGAGATTCTCCACAGCTGGAGAGAAATGTCAGAAAGCTACTTACTGTACGTGGGCAGTATCAGATTTCAAATCCTAATATTTCAGCTATGCTTTTAATACTCAGAATACAAGGGGATGGGGTGTTGGAAGCTTCCCCCCCTTCTTTTTTTGTTAACAGTTTATAGAATTTAACAGATGTACTGTCTTTCATGTGGCCTCACATTTGAAGTTATGAGAACATACACATGGTTTACAACTTTTACTATATACCTTTCCTTGGCCACCAAGTATTTTAAAAGTGTGCCACCTTTTAACCTTTACTTTTTTTTAAGTTGAAGGTGATACTTTTTCTATATATCATGCAATTCATGTCAACTGAAGTAAGTGTAATCTCAGATATCATTATATTTTAAAATCACGCTATGGAAATATCACCTGCATTCTGTCATTTGTCAGATTTACAGTACCTTTTTTTTTTTTTCTTTAACTTTTAGCATTAAATAAAAAATAAAATCGGGAGCACTGAACATTTTCTGAGGCCTTTTTTTTTTAAATTTTTTTAAATGAGCAAAGGAGAACTCTCATGTCAATCACTAATGGCCATGTGACTGGAGCACGAGTGGGTCTGAGTGTGGGGTTGGATGAACTGCAGGAGAACAGGAGATGAAAGGCACTGGTGGCAGAAAAAAGAAGTCCTAGGGAAAGGGCCACTGGGGAGGGGACAGGTGAAAAGCTGTACAAGGTACAGCTGAAGGCACTTGTTTATTTTCAATGACAGCCTGGCCAGCCTTCTCCAACAGTGGAGTGGTTACCACATTGAAAGACTGTCCAGACCTGGGGCTGCTTTTTGGAAAGCTTTGGAATAAAACAGTCTTTGGTGAGGCAGAGGACATACGTTGAAGACAAAAGGGAAAAAAGATGGGAAGAAAAAGCAAACCTGTATTTGAAAAGCTTTGGAACTAAGTGTGAGCTCTATTGATATCCTGAAATCTGAACTTACAAATAGAGATAAGAGACAGAAAGCATAGACACATTTTAAAACCGTTGTCTACTGTCATATAGTAAGAAGTTTCCTGGATGTTGCAGCGTTGACTATTGATCAATGGCTTGGCAGACTTCTCTATGAAAGGAAGTCGGGAAACTTATGAAGAGTCTAAAGCTAGGAAGTACAAAGACTTAATATATGTTTTAAATTAAATAGCAACAGTGGATGTGTAGTTGGGTACATTTTTAGAGGCGGTCCAATGACATGGGGGTCTATCGTTATATTTTAATAATTTTTTTCATTATTAGCCCATTTAATGCAGTTTTAGAGGAACTATATTTTCAATAAGTTATAGATTGAGAATTTTTCATGTGATTACAAGAAATAGGCTATCAGTTTTTGTTTTCTAACTTAAAAATGCTAAATTTTCTTTTGAGTCAAATTCAAAATAGCACTGCTTGCAGAAGGGATTTTTAAAATTTCAAAAGCTCTCCTCCCAAAGGTATACTTTAATGATCACATTCAGTTAAAAAAGAAAAAACCAGACTCTTGATGTGGCAGATGTCTCTATTTATTCCCCAAAGGGAGGAAAAGTTAAAAGCATAGAGCCCCTTTTAGTTTCTAGACTTTTAAGTAGTCCTTTACTCAAAAGTTGTTTTGCATATGATTTAGAGATGTTTTATTTGGTTAGCAAAGAGTAAAATGTTTGTCTTCCTGATTCGTAAGTGTGTACGTGAAATCATTCAGAAAAAACTGCTCAGTTGTATGGAGGCCACCAGAAGTCCTGAGTCACCCTCATTTGCTGCCTTTGTTCCTGGGGAACAGTGTGAGAAGACACGCCTTTCCTCAGGCTGGAGGTCAGAGGCCCCAGTGAATGGAATACATATTTAGCCACCTCATCCCTGGGTTCTGGGCCTGGGGGGAGGGGTTAACTCCTTGAGTGCCACTGATCGGCCCTCTGTCAGCAGCAACAGGCTTAAAACTGAGGGAAAGCAGGCTGTGTCCAGATGCAGCTGTCTAGGTCCTGTGCTGCGGCCCTCTGACAGCCCAGATCACCCTCGATGTATTTGAAAGGCACAAATATAGACAAACAATTTGTGAATTATTTAAGAACTGGAAGATGGAAAAATGCTTGGATTTATGGATTATCTGTGGATTTCCCTATTAATCCTCAGATAAATTCATGACTAGGGAAATACACACTACCCCTTTTTATCATTAAGAAATTAACTTACAGAGCCAGGGTGTATCTCAGGGAGAGCTTGTGCTTAGGGTACACAAGGCTTTGGGTTGAATCCCCTCCACTAAAAAACAAAAACTGTGACAGTGGACTCTGCTTTAAGCCATTAGTGTGTCACCTACCCCCTCCCCTGTCAACATAACCTAAAAGGCTATATTTACAACAGATTTCCTTTATTTTTTAAAGGATTATAGAGTATGAAATCTGTGTTTGCACTGTTTTTTATCACAGAATATTATGTTTCTGCATGGCACTGAGCAACATAAAAGGATCCATACAATCCACAGAAAAGGTATTTTAGGGCAAAAATAATCACAATTGTTTAGAACCATTTAGATGTTGTATCTTTAAAAGCAGTTCTTTTATTTTGAATTTGAAAAACAATTGATAAAATTTTCTTATTAAAACAACCATATTGGACCAGGTATATAAGCAATTTCTTCCATGGTATAATGTAAATATTTCTTTTAAAATAGTAGATGACCTTTACCACTCTAGAACATTGAGTCTTCAGTACTAGTGAAATGTATCTCAAGATAGCACAAAAAAAAAAAAAAAAAGCTTCTAGGAGATGTTTTCTTCTACGTCAGACAAGAACTGGAGACTGGGCCACAGGTTCCTGGTGAAATTGAGAGTACCAACATGCTGGTTCTCCTTGAATGGGCTTCACAAGTCGATGGCATCATCTAAAAGGCCGCCTCCAGCAGCTCAGCAGGAGCCCTTGATGCTGAGATAAGACATCCTTGTGTAGGGTAATGTCACATTTGAATATTTCTAAATATAGTTTACCTTTTTGGGGAAAGGAACTGTTACATCATCTGTAGGTCTGCCACTTAACCACGTTTGCTTAGCTGTTTGCAACTTCACTATCAGTTAACCTACAGATGCCCATTAGGGGACAGGCATCCTGCCACAAGTGAGTCAGGTTAGGTTGTGTACCCATGCACGTCACAACTTCACACGTAAAATATCGAGGTCATTGCACCCTTCTCTGCCATTTGGAGAACATCTTGTGACGGTTCAAACAGAATATTTTGAACTCCACACAGCCAGGTCTTAGGGGAAAAACAAAAACCTAGAAACAGCACATCAACAGAGCTCAGGATCTGTTTAAGGTATGGAGTTTATTAAAAGTGAACTTCAATGTCCTGAGCTTTACCTTCACTTATCCTGAGATTCTTTTTAATACCTGCTGTACTAGTAAGAGTTCTGCAGAAAATAGATGTGTCTGAATAGGGGTTGTCTGGGTGGGAATCACTCGGGCACTTGCAGCCAGGGCTTGCCTTGAGCTACCAGCCTGGTGTCTACCTGTGAGCAGCAAAACAGGAAAAGGCTGGTGGGTGCCTTCACCCAGGCTGAAACCTGTTACCCCCATTTTGTTATTTCTGCTGCAAACAGCAATTCAATTAGTCTTCTGGGTGATAAAAGATAAAGATTTATTGTATCCCATATATGACTGAAATCAGAATTTCACAGGGGTCACAGTCATTAGAGAAGTTAATAAGCACCACATGGGTTGCTGCTGTAATTTTACACCTTCAAGGGGCACCTCCCTCCAGGCTTTAAACAACTGAGTCCAGCCCCACTCCTGAGGAGGTTCAGTCAAAGCCACAGGTAGGAAAGGCCTAGGGGCTCTGTCAGAGGCGCTTATCTACACGTTAGCTCCTCCCAGGAGCAAAATCGTCGCAGGAAAAAGAAATTCTTCCTGCAGGAAAAAGAAATTCTTCCTAGAACTTCCATCCGGAGCCGAGGCACAGTCTGGAGTCCAAAGTGCAAAGTGCTCCCCACAGCAGATGCATGATGCCCTGTATGCAGCCAGCTTAGAAGGGGCTGGGCACACAAATCTGTGTATCACCTGCACACAAATAAGGGACCAGCGCCAGCATACGGGCCGGGTCAGAATCGTCAGAATGTAGCTTTTGCTTTTTCTTTTTTCTTTTTTTTTTTCTTTTAACTTTGTAACATTGTTCAGAAAAGCGTTTTTTAAAAGGCAGACAGCCCCCAGCTCGGGCAGGCCGTGTTTACCGGAGGGGAAGGAAGGGGGAGGCGCCCAGGGGACCGTACAGCGCCGCCTGCACCGCGCCGCCTTCTCCGTTCCAGAACTTTCCTGCGGCCCGAAGCCGCCCCGCGCCGCGCACATGGGGCTGCGCGACCCCGGCAGGGCGCGGCGGCCCGGAAACGAGAGCGGGGAAGGCGCCCGCCCCGCGGCCTGCGCCAGCTGCGGCGCTATAATTAGCGGGCCGCGGCCGGAGTGGCCGCCCCGGGGAGGAATGTGCGCGCGCCCCGCGCCGCGTGCCCGGACGGTCCCGAGCGAGGCACCAAATAAAGGCAAAGCCTGGTCCGAGGCAGCTCCCGGGCGCCTGGCCGCGCCGGCCCTGCGGGTGGGTCTGCCCAGCCCGAGGGGGCGCGGGCGAGAGCTGCCCC